ATGATTCTGTTAGCTCTTGCAAATCTGGGATAGTATAGTTGAAATCTTGTGTCTGAGAGTTGAGGTAACGAAAGTCAACACAAAAACGATATTGTGATAAACTAGCTTCTTTTGAACCAATAGGGTATTCAGATTTATCAACATTTCGCTTCGAAACCAATACTATAGGACTGGTTATAGGTAGATGATCGGTATTACTAACTTGACATATAATACCCTGCTTGACAAGCTCAGCTAATTGATGGCGTAATACTTCCTTCTTATCAGGTGGTAAGCGATAAGGTCGCTGATGTTTTGGTTTTGCATCAGGGTTCAAATGGATCTGATGTTCAACAATTGAGGTAAGTCCTAAATCAGAATTTTCTGAAGTAATGAAAATATCTTGATATGAGTACAAACAATCCATCAAGACAGATAATTCAGCAGGGCTGACTGTGGTATTGGAAAAGTTGAGACTGTCAAAAAAATTGGGATGTGAATCATTAATATTATTAACAAAAGGTGGTGTGTTATTTGTTGATTCATGAACATGAGGTGAAGCAGTATCAGTACTAGAAAGAATAGGTGTGACTTTGGAGGAGTCATCGAATATGTTAAAGTCAGCTAATGCACATCCTTTAAAAAGGGTTATGGGGTGACTGGTTAAGTTGAGTACTTTGAGAGGAACTGTTCGATTTGACGACACTAGGCACACACTTCGAGATCCTAAAACATTCTTTCGGGACAATTGCTGATGAGGAGTACACATGCCTTGAATACCATACGACAAATGTTGTGGCACTTTGCCCCAAATAACAGTTTCTGTATTGCTTGGTAAAACAAGAGTTTTGGCACATTTCACTTTATATGAGTTGGATTGACTGGAAAGAGCACCAAAATCTAATTTAATTCTAGCCGAAACCATAAATGTAGTACCTAATATGATTGGTTGTGACAAAGTTTCTAACACATAAAATAAAATGTTTCTGTGAAAACCACAGTTTGATGAAAATGTTAAATAAGTACTTCCAAGTACTTTTACCTGTTGATCATTGGCTAATGTAAGTTGATGAGTATCGGTTGTAGTAAGTGTAGATTTACTGGTAACTGGTAACTTGGTGAATAGATGAGAAGAAATAATATTGACAGAACAGCCCGAGTCCAACAATCCAGCTATGGTCACTGGGAGGCCTAGAGTTTTAAATTTCAGTGGTAGATATTTAAAATGGTTTACTTGGGGAGCACTGGAGCTTGAAGCTGTAGATTGGCAGAGCTCAAGGGGTTGTGCTCTAGAGCCCTTGAGCGGAACAAGTTTCCCGGCTGCTTTTGAAGTTTACAACAATTAGCGGAATGACCGAATTGTTGACACGTAGAACAGCGAAGATCCGGGCGGATTGATCCATTATGTGTCCAGTTACAGTTGTGGGCAAAATGGCCAACACCATGACAAGTATAACAAACTTTAGATGATGGTGGGTAAGTATTGGTTGGTTGCTGTACATTGGTATAATGCGTTGGGTGTTGGATTTGGTGAGGGCCTTGAAATGGCTGAGAACGTTGTATGAGATTTGTCAAATCATTAATTTGTTGTTGTAAAAACTGATAACTGTTACCGGTACTGGTGGGAGGTGGCTGAGAAAAATCAGGAATTGGTATGTGAGGCGGTATGACGTTTGGTTGAATATGGCCTGGTGGCAGCTGAGAATTGGCAAAACTGTCCCGGTAGCCATAGGCTTCACCCATCTTAGCAGCATTGTAGGCATGTTCAAGTGTTGTAGGTGTTCCGGCTCTTACAAAAAAAGCTAATTTAGGAGGTAAGCCCGATATAAACTTTGACATAAGTTCTTGATCATTCTTGTGTAAATTGGCTGACTTCTCAATCAAAAAACTTTGGTATTGATCTATTGACTGGTTGGCTAGTAAATAAAAAGGCTGGTGGAAAACTATGGAATCGGCAAAATTGACCTGGGCTGTATATTTGGAAGTAAACACCTTCTCAAAGGACTGCCAAGAAAGTTTAAAAGCAGGAGGTAAATGTAAATACCAAATACGGGCTGGACCTCTCAGCTGTAAATGGAAAGCAGCAAGTTTCTGTCGATCTGTGAGTCCTTGAAGTAAACAAAACGAGTCAAACGCTTCTAAAAAATATGTTGGGTTTTCTTCACCGGAAAAGGTTGAAACCATACTGATGCCATGAAGTTTTGTTGGTAAGCTAGAGGGAATTGGTACTTGGTTATCAATGTGTTGAGTTGAGCGAACAGGAGTCAGTAATGGTGGCCCAGTTGTCAGCGGAGATGGTACTGGTGAAGTTGGATACATGGCAGGTGTCTGTTCAAAATCATTAATATACGAATAGTGGTACATCGGTGTGGTCGACATATTTACACAGGTAGGAAACAAGCAAACGATAGGCAGGTACTCAACAATGTTATAAACAGGATGACTTGATTGTTGGCCTTCAAAGGTAGGAAATGGCAACACCAAAAAACACGTGGTTTCATTGAGAAATTTATCATTCAACAGCAGTCAGCAACAAGTTTTAGCATCTCCACCATATTGTGTATTTGGGGGTGTAACACAATGGTGGTAGAACAAACAAGTTAATACACAAAATCATCTCCATTAATTGTATTCTGAGAACCACACAAAGACATAAGTTATTTACAGCAAAATCACAATCACATCTTATTCGAGCGCTTCAACGACACAGCAAGAAAAACAAACAACTCCTGACTCGAGAGTTATCTTTCCTCAACCTCGATTTCGTATTAATAAGGCCATACCACTTTAATAGGCCAACACATAATAAAATGTATGTGAATACATAACACAATGCTGATGATAGACCTCGTTCGGGTCGTCCTAGAGCAACTACACAAGCCCAGGATCGATACATCCGTACACAGGTCCTGCGAAATCGAGGACAAACGGCCAATCAGCTTTCTGTAAACTTGTACCAATTTACAGGAATTCGAGTTACACCCCAATCGAATAGAATTCGGCCACATGCATCCTATTTGCATGCGCGACGACCGCGTGTTGTGCCTACATTAACTCGCCAGCACAATATGGCAAACAGGCGTCAATGGTGTAGGCAGCGTAGAAATTGGAGTAATCGTCTATAAGCGCGTGTAATGTTCTCAGATGAGTCCCGATTTACTCTGGATTTCATCGATAGGCGTGCTCGCGTTTTGAGGCGTGTAAATGAACGTCATGCTAACGTTAACGTCAGACAGCATGACAGATTCGGGCGTGGGTCTGTTATGGTGTGGAGAGGAATCACCATGACTGGCAGAACGGACAATTTGCATATTGTTCAAGGAAGGGTCACTGGTGTGTACTACCGTGACCACATCCAGGCACCGATAGTTCTGTCCTTTGCTCAACGTTTCATCTTGTCCATATGCCTTGGCCAGCCATGAGTCCTGACCTTTCCACTATATAGGGCATGTCTGGGACATGATCAGGAGACGTGTTCGTCGACGTAACGTCAACCGACAACGCTGCAAGAATTAGCTGTGACACTGCAAGAGGAGTGGGTCAGATTCGCCCAAATCGTGATTGGACGGTTGATTAGGAGCATGCCACGACGAATTGCTGAATGTCTGAGGATTGGTGGAGCAATTACTCATTATTAAGACAAAAATCAAAAATGTCCATTTTCACTTTTGACGATGTATCTTTTTGCGAGTGAAATGGGGCCGTCAGATAAGCCGCCCACGTGAACTGTTTATGTTCATGTGTAGGCAGTTGGCCTGTTATTAACATACACTGGTTACCTCTAATAAAAACAGCAGTGCATTTCTGCAGTTTTGTATTGTTTCTGAATATCCCCTACTTTTTTTAAAGAGTATATATTATCCGATTTAAAAAAACGTTCGAATATATCACCGTTACACCGTAATTTTGTCTGAGGTTGATCAATGAAAATCGGACCAAAATTGCAAGACAAAAATGGCCGCCCCTCGTACACAAATAGTGTAAACATCTGGTTTATCAAAGTTGTGGACCCTCTCGAGGCCACAATTTTGATCAGATTTTGATGAAACTTGAAATGCAAGTTTATAACCCAAAGATCTCCGTTTCTTTCAATATTCACGCATATCAAATTGTAACTTCCTTAATTATGGCCTCTGGTTGTACGAACAATCGCGTTTTTAGCTTGTGTAGTTGTGGTCCCTCGAAGGTCACCATTATTATTTGATTTAAAAAAAACCGTTCGAATATATCACCGTTACACTGTAATGTTTGTTGATTACGAATTTTGTGAAAATCGGGCCAAAACTGCTGTTCAAAATGGCCGCCCCTCGTACGCAAATAGTGTAAACATCTGGTAAATCAAGGTTGTGGACCCACTAGAGGTCACAATGTTGATCCGATTTTGATGGAAGTTGAAATACATGTTTATAACCCAAAGATCTCGATTCCTTTTGATATTTGCACATATCGGATTGTATCTTCCTAAATTATGGCCCTTGAATGTACAAAAAATCACGTTTTTAGCTTGCGGTCCATGTATAGGTCACAATTTTTATCTGATTTAAAAAAAAAATTTGTGAATATATCACCATTACACACTAAGATCAAGGGTTCCTTTTGATATTTTAGTTTATGACTATTTATTTCCGTTTTTGAAGTAACTTAAATAGATAAAGTCAGATAGGGGTAGTTGCTTAATTTCGGAACGGTCTCAGGACAAACAAAGGACCTGTCCGTCCAGATACCATTCCGAAAGGAGGATTTCTGTCCTATATAATTGTTTTAGTTTAGCTTACTAACTGAAACACATTATTGTTAGGTCTACCGAGAACTGTATTTTACTTGCAAATACATCTCTTATTTTGTGCTTTAAATGGAGTTGTCCTATTCTGAAGCTGAACATTTTGAGATCACCTATTTTTGTTCATTTACGGTGCCCCTACTCCTGCCCAAATGCTTTAGATGTGATTCACAGATAGTATGAGCTCCGAGCTCCTTTATTTCTTGGCCCCGTAGGCTAAAAAAAAAAAAAAAACAGTCAATAAATTACACATTACATTAATTTATTGACAAATAAAAGCTTACAAATGATATAATCCATTTCATACAACTTCTGTTGATATATAAATATACACACAATACATAAACAGATAATTCAAATATATTTACAATCAATAAAATTAATTAAAAATTCCACCCATCTAATAAAGAGAGAGGTTTCAATTAATACAAATTTTAAATAAGGTAGATAAGTGAAAAATGTGATAAAAGTTTAAGGCTATATCAATGTTAAAATCATGAGGCTTTATTATACATTTTCTACCTCCTAATACTCTTTCGTATAGAAATTTTATACACAATTATTTGTTTCTCTTGATAATTTCACTGATCTTACAAGTGATTATTTAATACAATCAGTTTAACTGTAGCTAAATTGATGAAGTATGTCTTGTATTCAGCAGTTCCGATATTGCATAGCCTTCATTAACATAATTGTGTCTGGAAATAAGGCAATTAGCATCAAGTACACTTTAAAACTGTGTAAAATTGCTATGTAACTAATGCTTACAATGCATATACGCCCTACACATTACCAACTTGAGAAAAAAAACTTTAGACAATAGGATCAACTTATATAACTACATATGTATCAATAAACTAATACAACAAATGAACACAGTATTTGGTCATAATAAATTGAATTTTGGCATTCTTAGTTGACTGGGATTCCCCATTGATCATTGAAGACTAAAGGGGAATAACTCTAATTTTATGCACTATATTATTTGGTTTAATCTCACTGTGCCCCCCAATCAACTGGTGTTATAGGGTAGTGGTGTGAAAATTTAAGTAAACAAAGGATTATAGACTGTATCCTTATTAGTACTGTTCACCTAGTTGAAATTTAATTATTTTAATGATTAAAATATATAAGTTAAGTTCACGTGTAATCGGTTTTCGGGTATCTTAAATATTATTCACCTACCTTTCATTCAGACAGTACTCATAAATCAATCAAATATATGATTAGAAACTCACTATCATTATATAAGGATATTATTATATTAATATTTAGTATTGCATGTTTTATCTAAATCATTCTTTTTACTTTTATGCCTGAAATTAACTATGTTCATTTATGGAGATTTCATTTTTATCATTTGAATTTATTGTGTATTTGTTGGCTTTAATTTTCCAGATTTCCGACGCGAAGCTGAAGATATAATCAAGCATGTTCCGACATACTAGTCTATAGCCTACATGCATCGTTGTACAGAGCTCAGATATTGAACTGCCACATGCCTTAATGATCTAAAAATCAAACTGTTAAATGGAGTAAAAAGTGCAATTGAATATACTGACGCCAGATCACATTTAGTAGGGTTATGATTTATGTTTGATACATGTATTTGTTGTTACTTTTATGAAATTTATTGTGAATAAAGTTGTTAATTAGTTTAAAAGTAGTAGTTTAAAAAAACAGACTATACTTTTAACACCATTGTATTCGATAATCCCCTGGCTTGATTAATCCCCCCATGAGAACAATAGCAGGGGGCACAGTGAGATGTCCCCTATTATTTTAGTTTAGTGAACAATTATCATCAAATAATATTTTAAAAAGTATCAATTAGTCTATTCTACTTATCAGTCTTCTTTGCACAATCACCAACTTACTGTTCTCAATCAGCAACAGAGATGTGAATGATTTATGAAGACTGAAGGGCAATTACTCTGAATTTTACAATATTCTATTGACAAGACATAAAAACACTCAGAAATTTTTAACATTGAAAGCATAATATGTATAATAATCTATCATATTCACTTTTAACATACAAGCATATTGATTATCTCCTAGCAATGTACAAAATACAGAAACTGATAAATTAAATAAATTATACAGCTATTATTAAATATATTTTTGCTTATTAATTATCAGTTTCAATACATACATCATAACTTTCACAATATACAAATCATTCTTACATATAAATCCCATTTATCATACAATATTTCTTATATAATATTTCAACATATTACATACATTTATAACTTCACAACGCTCATATAAAACAATTTATTTTGATCTTATTTCAAAGTATTAATTTTTTCTTCAGGGTAGAAAGTCAAAAGAATTTACCATACAATCATGAAGCTAATTGTACATCATCCATTCAAAGATTACAATTATAGCTATTATTCTTGAAACAATGCATCTTACAATTTAAATTAGACGTTCTACAGCAGTACATGCCTCATCCTCTACGTAATGTCAGTAGATAAAAATAAGAGCCCCAAAAAACAAAACACATTAACCTCTTTGGTTGAATTTTTCTGATGCAGTTAGTTGTTCTTTTTAACATTTATGTTTATTTGATTGGGATTCTCAGTCTAAGAAAAGCGCATCGTCAACCAATGATCCACAGAGGATTGGTTGAAAATACACAGAAGATGTGGCATTGAGAATATAGCTGATTTTACACTATTTTCAGGAATAAATTCTTTTTCCCTAGATCACTTAATACATTTCCTATGTATTTTTAATGTGATTTCTCTTTCATTACATTCTATCTTTAGTTCACAAGCAAAAACATGGTTCAATACACAATTTGATGGTCCATTTATCCACTTGGCACTTTAATTTTATTTGTTCAATGCTGGTATTCAACTGTATTGAGCAATACAATAGCGCCATATGAAATATTTATTATTATACAGACTATAAGGTATTATTAGATGTCCATAGATTAATCATACTCATAACATCTATTTTGGGTAAAGGATTTCATAGATCGACTGGGAGGTGGGGTGTTGAACATAGCTTCAAGTCTTGCTCGAGATGCATTAGGGGAGGCTTTTGGGGTAGAAGATGCTTTATAAAGTGAATCATTAGATACCCGAGAACTGGGTACAGAAAGCGGGGAGGGTGGGCGTTTATATAAGGAGTCTACTGGTGGTCTGAACGCAATTCCATTATGATTAACACTGCGATATGGAGACTCTAACTGTGAGTCTCCGAAAGATCGAAAAGAACTTCCATCATTGACACTGCGATAAGGTGACTCAGCATGTGGTCTGAAAGTTTGACTTCTCACAGGTAACTCTACGGAAGCTTGACGTGTTGAATTTAAATCTCTTATAAATGTTGTAGTTCTGTATGGAGATTCTGGAGATGTTTTAAAAGAAGAGTTGGGCTCTCGAACAATCTTTGGACTACGATATGGTGATGCTTCTGGATTAGTTCTGAAGGACATGGCAGTAGCACTTGCTCCATATAAATATGGTGGACTTTTGTTGGGAGACTCTGGTGTTGTCCGGTATGAACTTGAGCTATCTCGACCAAATTGTGGACTTCTGTAAGGTGACTCTGGTGATGATCTAAAGGAACCAGTGGAATTGTGAGCTGATACTGGAGATTTGAGAGAGCCGTCAATAGATGTTTTGAAAGATTTATTAGAATCCAGTGGAGAAGAAGGAACAAGAGTATCTTCAGAAGTCCTAAAAGATTGGACACCAGCTGTAGAATCTCTAGCTGATAAAGATGGTGAAGGTCCTGTACGGAACATTATGTCTCCATTAGCGCCACTAGGTTTGAATGAACTGGTTGAATCTCTGCGATCTCCCGCTGTTGGAATTCTGTACATGGCAGCAAAATTGGCTTTAGCTGTTTGAGCACCATCAATATCTTCATAGTCATGGCAACCAATATAATCTCTTGATTCAAAATATTTTGGTTTAGGTACTGGAGGTGGAGCTACATAGATATTAGGCATTAAATACCTATTGGAGTTGGCTAATGTTAAACTCTTTCTAGCTTGTTTCTGCTGTCTCTGATATTGTAAATACATAAAGATAACCATACAGAGGAAAACAAAACCAAACGTACAAGCTGTGATGATTAAAAATTTACTCATTTCATCTATAGCTGGTACTTCAATACCTGAAAATATATATTTAAATTTAAATTAATGAAAAATAGGTTTAAAATCAAAAAAATCTTCTTCCATTGATTAACTTAAGCCATAGACAGTTATCTCAACTTCACCCCTCATTGTCATTGATTAAACTCTTGTTTCATAGATAATAACACCATGAATTTTTCACCTATTCTTATTCTCATGCCTGCCATCTACCAAGGGATCTTAGTATGCAAAACCAATTTGTACACTAGATATTTTTTTGCCTGATCCAAACAACTAGACTCATTTTGCTTATCAGTACCTCAAGCACCATCATAACAAATGAAAACAGTTCATCTTGCGGATGTCCAGATTTGGATGTGACATTCTGGTTGTGAGTCAAGTGAAGCGTACAAACCACCACTGTCCTACTAGGTTGCACAACGATCGTGGCTCTAAAACTGACAGTATGAGCTAGTAGAGACATACTTACATTGAGATTGACTGATAGCTCCTTCCTCTCTAGTATATTGATCCATTTCACATCTTTGACATTGTACCTGACTAGCTTTAGGTTGAAATGTTCCTCTAGGACATAACATACATTTTCTTGCTGTTGTATTATGTAAAGCCCCTACTGGACAAGGCACTATAATAATAACAAGAATAAAATACATAATCAATTCATTATATAAATTTCTCAATAGCTAAATTTAAGTAAAATTTGCTTGATAATAGATATCTGGGAAAGATGGCTAGAAGTTTTATTATTATCATCAACAGTAAAGTCTTCAAGGGCCATCACTTTTCAATACTGTTTTCTTTAACTGTTTCTTAGAAATGCAGATTAAGCAAAGTATTTATTATATCAATTTAAAGCTATAGTATAATTAATTAATAGTGGATTATATTATTTCAATGGCATTTAGTAATTCAACTGGAAACAATTCTATGGAAAACAATTACTGTTTATAACCGGAGTGGCATTCTGACTAGAATTATCTGGTCTTTATCAAACAATGATAAAGACTAGAGAATCCTAGTCGAAAAATCGCTCAGTAATAAACAGTAATTGTTTTCCATAGAACTGTGGCCTGTGTCATAGTCTTGTATTATTGACTATATAATAACATACCACAGCCATCTTTAAAAACCATCTCTCCATGATTACACACTAATTGGGATGGATTAGTTCGTACACTGCTAGGTTCTGCTGTATATTGGTGAGAATCTACTATAACTGCTAATGCTGATATCAACTTCATTAATTCTATCTTTATATCATTTAGTATTGCTTCAACTTGACCCTTTGTAAATCCATTCCTTAAAAATAAACAACATTATCAGAACATTAAGATAGGTTGCAAGGCAACGAAACATACAGTTAAATCCTCTGATCGGTCAACAAGGGTTGTCGCATATTTTTTCTTTTGTAGGTAATGACAATTTCATAAGACAATTATAATTTTTGTCATTTGAAGGTTCACAAGGTTCTACAAACTGAAACAAGGGCCTTAATTCTAGAAGTAATTTAACGAAAATTACTGAAATTCAAAAGGGTTTCGTCGTTTCACTCATTTAAATGATGCATATAAATTTCATACAGATCTGATGATAATATATGTCATTAGAGCTTTCACAAGGTTCAAAAAAGTGAAGCAAGGGCCATAACTAGACATAATTAATGGAAATTGCTCAAATTCGATAGACTTCTTCATTTCACTAATTTAATTAAATGATGCATATAAATTTCATACAGGTTGGATGATAACTTTTGGTGGTCAAGCGTTTACAAGGTTCTACAAAGTGAAACAAGGGCCATTACTCTAGACATAATTAACTGAAATTGCTGAAATTCACTAGGCTTCATCATGCCACGAATATAATTGATGCATATAAATTTCATACTGATCACAAGGTTCAACAACCCAACAGTAAGGCTGATGTCCCCCGCCAAAATCCCAAAATAAATAGATGACCCATATTAACTAATTGCACATTTATCTTCTACAAAAATATCAATCAATTATCTATATTTAGTCTAAGCATAAAAGATTCACAATCAAAATCAGTCAAGGTTTTGAAGTACCTGGTAGTGGAACTATACACTCAGTTTCATCCCCCTACCGGTCTTCATTAGCCCAGTTCGGAGCAGAACTATAGGACGTTAAACCTCATTTCATTTTATTTCATCACCCTCTATCATTCAGAAACAAGGTTATCTTGTCCCAAAGCATCGACCAATGAAATTGCTTAGCTCTGCTTAGCTTTAGCGAGAAAAGTCAATCATTGAACTCAGTAAAGACATTCACCAAATGAACATCTTTGTCAAGTTTAAACATTGTACTTCAATCAAAAGCAGAGTTGTTATGTTCCAAAGTCTTGACCAATCAGAAAATTCTCATCATTGAACTTAATCAAGGTATTGATATAATGAATCTATACTCCAGAGTTCCATCGCTCTGACCCCATTAGAACCAAAGTTATGTCATTCCAAAGTCTCAACCAATCAAATTGCCTATCTCTGCTTAGCTGACAGCAATATACGGCCACATTTCCATGTGGCCGGCACTTCCATCTGGACGTGTAAAAAAATTAATCACAATATTTACTCATCTATAACACATCGTAATTAAGTACCAGTATATTCAAATCTATTTAATAAATTGAACAATGCAGAAATATTTAACACTACCAAGTGGAATTTGGTGTTTTGGGAAAAATTATACCATACCCTGCTATAGCATGACAACTCATCAATTTCTAGCTATTGGATTAAAAATGGCCATCATTTATAGATGCAACAAGGCCCCAATGAAATGTAGATACACCAAAACAAGGAGCCACACCAACATATGACAATACTTACATGCTTTCTATTGTAATATTCCATTTAACAGTAAATTTATCTTGTACAAATCTTCTAATTTTAACACTTCGTCCACAAACAACAGTCATATTGCTGAACTGACAATCGGCAAACGGACATTTATCACTTTTTTGAAGATGGTCTAAAATATGTGATGAAAGTTCTGATACTAAACTTGAGTTATTTAGATTACATGGTCCAATAAAACTTAAACTGAACTCCTGTAGTACTTTTGTAGGTCTTTTCTTGGCTATAAAAGAAAACGGTGGATATATAGTAATATTATCAGATTATATGTTCGTTGAAGAGCCATAATAATAACCTAAATTATTATGGTATTTTGCCATATTAAAGTAATATTGGTATCATAAAAGTAACAAATTACTAATTAATGGCAAAAAATAGTTATTTATTTACAAAGTAAACAACAAGGAAAAAATAGACCTCTTAAAATAGAAATTATAAGTAGGTGCAAAGCTTTTTTATAAAGTATCCCCTGATTAAGTATATTCTCTATTTGACAAGATGGCAGCTAGATTTAAATGAGGGTGGTTGGGTGGCTGAATGGTCTAACGGCTGTTATTGAGTAAACTTGCATGGTTCGATGCGCAGGGTCATCTGTCCAACCCCATGGGTTTTTTTCTGGGTCCTCCAGGTTTCTTTCACTGCTAAAGAACCCTATGATCAAGGAAATTATTGAAATGAAATTAACCGTATGTTGGTCCCAAAAATCCCCCAGTTTGTGTTGAATGGACATTAAACCCCATTTTTCTCAGTTAATACATTAGAATCAGTAGAAATTTGATACAACCAGATTAAATCTAACTAGACTATTTTGTCCCTTTAAGGAAACTATTGCATATCAATAAATTATATTGTTCTATTATATTGTTCTATTGTCCTAAAATATGTTAGGTATATCTTGTTTTGGCTGATTTTGCAAATTGGTAGTTCACTGATATATAAAGATATACAGTTAGAAACAGACAGTTTTAATAATTGCCTAAATATAATGTTAATTCCTGAACTAATTAGCTCCCTGTTGAGATATGCTATTCTAGGGATTTCTTTGGTAGGATTTCTTTAAATTGTAATGTGTTATGTTTAATTATTTATATACCTAAACATGGTTCTTGTATTTTCATTCTTTTATTTAACTGTTGAACATCTCCAGATAGTTGACAATTAAAATGTCTATCAAATAATCCCACAGGATTGATAACATAACCACTACCACATACAACATGGCATATTTCTTCTGTAAGTCTAGTATGACCACAAGCAAACGCTCCATTCTTAAATGATGGTAAATTACATTGCTGTTCTGTAAAAATAAAAAAAATTATAATCAACACACACATAATTCTCAACATTTGTGGCCAGTGCTGGCAAACAGAGTCATAATGAGGATATTTTTTAAAATTGAATTACTATTTTTTTCACATTTACCATCTCAATACCTTCAAACTGATGTATGGTTTGTTTAAATCGGGAAAAATATTGACCGAGCTGTGTCGGTTTGAAGCTGCCTAAGCAATGATTGTAAGCCTGGAGAAAAAGCAAGTTAAAGATGTTGGTATGTTCCAAAACAAAATCATAGCAACCATGCCGTTTATTTGCTATTTTGTCATTTAATATTTTATTCTTTATATATTTTTTCTTGCCAACTAGAATATTTATCTCACGCGTATAACAAGCGGTTGCCATGCAAGATAGGCCAACACATTGTGCAAGAGATGGACAGAGAACAAGCTCAAAAAAAGAAGTGATTTTTTCGTACAATCAAGGGCCATAATTCAGGAAGTTATGATCCAATATGTGCGAATATCGAAAAGAACCAAGATCTTTGGGTTATAAATATGTATTTCAAGTTTCATTAAAATCGGATAAAAATTGTGACCTCTATAGGGTCCACAACCTTGATATACCATATTTTTACGCTATTTGAGAACAAACGGCGGCCATTTTGTCTGTCAATTTTGGGCCAATTTTCACGAAATTCGAAATCCATCATCCTTAGGGTGTAACGGTGATATAATAATACGTTTTTTTAAATCGGATAAAAATTATGACCTCTATAGGGTTCACAAGCTAAAAACGCGATTTTTCGTACAATCATGGGCCATAATTCAGGAAGTTACAGTACGATATGCGCAAATATCGAAATGAACCGAGATCTTTGGGTTATAAACTTACATTTCAAGTTTTAACAAAATTGGATAAAAATTGTGACCTCTATAGGGTCCACAACCTTGATATACCATATTTTTACGCTATTTGAGAACGAACGGCGGCCATTATGTCTGTCAATTTTGGGTCGATTTTCACGAATTTCGAACTCAGTCGTCCTTAGGGTGTAACGGTGATATAATAATACGTTTTTTTAAATCGGATAAAAATTATGACTTCTATAGGGTCCACAAGCTAAACACGCGATTTTTCGTACAAACAGGGGCCATAATTCAGGAAGTTACAGTCCGATATGCGCGAATATCGAAAGGAACTGAGATCTTTGGGTTATAAACTTACATTTCAAGTTTCAACAAAATCGGATAAAAATTGTGACCTCTATAGGGTCCACAAGCTAAAAACGTGATTTTTCGTACAAACAGGGGCCATAATCCATGAAGTTTCGATCCGATACATGCCAATATCGAAAGCAGCCGAGATTTTTTCGGGATAAAGCTATATTTCAAGTTTCGTCAAAATCGGACAAGAATTGTGACCTGTAGAGAGTCCACAAACAAATTGTGGACGGACGGATGTCCGGACGGACGTCCGGACAGACAGGGGCGACGACAATATACGTCCACATGAAAATATAAAAACAGCATAGAAATTACGTAAATCCCCATAGCGGTATTACAGACTTGTGAGAATTGTAGAAATAAAATCTAGAGATCAGTTAATTTGCTAACCGAAAAATTAAGAAAATTGCATATTCCAGTGCATTTGTGTAGCAATATTGATAATTCCAAGTATTGCAAAAATGTTGTGTATATATGTCATGATTACTCTTATGATACGCAACAGTATTCTATTCTGACAAAGTGGTGTAGACATGTGAATTCACATTACCCTACTATGAACAAAAAACATGAAATATGGATATGTTTGGCAAAGTTTTTTTTATGCGTTATCAAAAATGACCGGCAGTAAAAATTTTGAAGTGGAAGCCCTGGTGTAAGCCCGCTGGACAATACTCCGTTTGAGCTAAGAAATGTATTAATTACCTTTTACTATGGTAACATTAAAGGTACAATAGGCTTTATTTCCAGCCTTATCAGATGCAGTATAATTCACAGCTGTTGTTCCATGAGAAAAATCAATATTAGAATCATGTGATCCTATATTCTCAAAAACTCCAACATTATCTACAGCTATAGGGCGTTGCCATACAACACGTTCCATTGGTTGATCACTTTTTATAAGTAAATTACGTGGACAGTAAGTAAACACTGGTGCTGTCACATCTGTAAAAAAAATAGAAAATAAAGTTTCTCGTTGAGTTTTAAGTAGAGATGAGTCAATATCAGATAATTTTAGTAAAACTATCAGCCGATACAAATACTAAATAGTAAATAGCTAGACATGTGAAGCTTAAGATATTTAATCATTGTCATGTAAAGATATAAATATACATATAAATCATAAAAATTTACAAAATCATTCTTATGGCTTACCATCAACTTGTATTTCAAATTGACAAGTTTTCTTCCTTTTCCAATTATCTTCAGCTTGAAATACCACCATATGAATTCCTTCACTGCCTCTTCCTTTCCACATGAGACTAATAGCTCTATCTACAATCTGATAGTTTGATGTCATAGGCAGACGGTTTTTATAGGAATCATAAGCTGACCATTCTACTGGATATAGATATCTATTACTGTCTGGTGGTAGTGTTACTGTTATTACAGAATCATGAGGACAATTCTCAAAATATGGATAGCCACCTGTAATAAGATATAATTAAATCCTAACTAATTAAAATACAAATATCATCTGATTAAGGATATGCATGAAAATTGTAAATATGAAAAAACACAAAAAATCTGAAAAAAGAAATTAATAGGCCCGTGGAAAACAATAAAATCAACAGTCACTAATAATCACTAATAATCAAAAGAGAGATTGTGCAGAATATTTAAAGCAAATATTTAAAGTCAATATCAAATCTTTATCACAAGACAAGTAAAGTTGAAGAGAGGGTTATTGAAATGAACTTCATCCATCCTTTGCGGTTTTGTTTCCAAAGCACATCTCAGGAACCACTCAGGATATCTTTAACAAACTTTGAACTGGCACCAGTGTAGTTAAGCCTTTGTAAATCAAAGGACAGACTAACATATGGTTCAACTTAAGTAATTCACTTGTGCGTAGGGGTCTTTAGCAGTAGGAGGAAACCGGAGGACCCGGAGAAAATCCATGAAGTTGGACAGGCAACCCGGCTCCTTGTCATGTACAACCGTGGAATCGAAACCATGCCAGTTGACTCAATGACAGACCTTATGATACAGCGTGCACACGCTAACCATTCGTCCATTCAACCCCTCCGTAATTATTAGAAATGTAATTCTTATTCATCACAATAATCCAAATGAACAGTCTTACCATTATTTTGAATTGATGAAGCTGTGTCTTTTGTCACCATGGTTACATCTATTAGTGGTTCGATATCTTCTGTAGTTGGTCTAACTGGTATGTGTGTTGTCTCATCTGCTGTTGCTTGTGTTCTCTCAACATAAGGAGCATGGGTTTGTTCATGTAATGGTTCCTGAGTTCTTTCACCATTGATTTCATAGTCAAAAGTAACACCAGACACTGTTGCACCTGCCAGTGTTACCCCTCTTGGAACAAAGCTATGGTCAACAGATTTACTTGTTGTTATATCTAACCAGTCCATTTCTGAATCTTTTGTAACCATTTTTGATGTTGTCATAGTAACCATTTTGGATGTTGATGTAGTAACCTCTTCTGTTGTCATGGAATTAACAGTTGTTACTGCAGTAGCTGCATAGAAGGAAAGATATGCATGATTATCTATCACTATTTCTATGAATTGAACCTTCATATTATAAGATATTACTGTCTCAATACAATAAATGCAGCAAGAAAAAATATCTATGTGTATCATTATCAACAAAATGCATGTCAAGAAAATTGATGGAAATACGAAAGCTTTAGTTTTTCAAAAATAAAGAATGGAGGTGGGTAAGTGATCATCTGGGTACTTCACAGTTACTGTTATGCCTTGTCTACATAATATTAGAACCTGACATCAGGAACTTATTATATAATGTTTATGGCCTATGATATAAAGGATATCAGGCGTCCATATTTTCATGGTAAGATCACAACATCAATATTGATTGGAATGGACGAGTATTAAATTCTTTTTCGTGTCTCAGATTATGGATAACATTGAGTTGATTAGAGGTTAAATTATAAATGATTGTAAAACGTACCTATACATGTATTATTGACCAAAATTCGGTTAGGTCTATCACAGTAACATTGACTGGAGGCTGTAGCACCTTGAGTACTAGTATCAAATGGACAAGCATCACATGCTTCATTACCTAACGATGATTTATACATATTCTCTCCACAACCTGAAATATAATATCATTGATCATAATATGTAACTTATAACATATCATATTAAAGCTATAATATTCCAGACTAAAATAATAGATAGTCTTACCAAAAAGCATATTGGCCCCAAAATTATCCAAGTTGATCAATTCTAAACTGATCCTAAACTGATCTAAAGTTCACTTTACTCTCTATTATGTATATGTCATGCCACCATCAGTGCAATATTATGGCCTCCTCACAAATTTTTAACACTAAAGTCATGTATATCGTACATAATTATAAGGTAACCCAGTTGTTTACTGTACATGAGTACACTTTTATTGTTAAAATTAAATAAAAGAAAATAATAATTCACCTTTGTGAAAATCTTACCTATGCAATCACCATCAAATAAATAATAACCAGCTTTACATACACAGATATATTCTAATAATGGTACTCGTTGGGCACATTGTGAATTTTTACCACATCCATCACCACATCTTCTTTCTTCAGTTCGCACCCATGGACTCGACACTTTAATATAAATAATAATCAAATCTTAATATATATTCTAATTAATGATGCATTTTAAACAGAGAAGCATTCAGCAATGGAAATATTCTACTAAAATCAAATCTATGGACAGCATTTGAGAAAACCATTGATACACATTTCATCCAGACATTTCATGTCTTAGTCATCCACTTTCAATGTTACCTTGATATTATAAAAATGTATAAAGTACCGTAAAAAATGAATGAAAAAAAGGACACTTCTAAAAGATTTATAATTCCCAAGTGAAGTAATGATATAATAAGGAACTAACTTTGAATACAGTTTTTGCCATCAGCAGCTAACTTTGAACCAATATTACAAGTACAATGATAAGATCTAGGTACAGGTACACAAATAGCACTACATTTTTCTTCACCATCTTCGTTACATAAATTATCTTCTGTAAAATAAATTAAAAGTTCTTTCATTTGGGGTTTTTACAAGCAGACGAGAAGTATTGACTTGGCGATTATATTGAAAAGATTGTCCATATCTTTTGTTATAGATTATATTGAGGGGTTAGAGAGATAATTATCCAAAAAGCAAATTTTTTCTATGCCACAAAAAAAAAGATGAAATCATTAAAATTTTTGTTCAAATTTACTTTTCCAATACAAATACTGGATTCAGATCCTCCCATGTGAAAATTTTGTTTTCCTGAAAATTTGAAAGATTTATACAACCTCAAATAATTTGAAATACATTTATAAAACAAGACTCGCTGGGTTTATGGCCATGTGTTTTATATTAATGGGTACAGTAGCAGGGTTGACAACAGTAGAGATATTTCTGAAACTCCATGTGAGCCAGTTTTCTGGCTTGTGAGTTAGACTGTCATACTTACTGCTTAAATCATTTGGATGATATATAACGATACTAGTTGGTCGTGAAAGATGGGTTGCCACGGTTTCTTGATCTCCAGTTACCATATCAACCATATAAACACTATTAGTGTACCAATCAGAATAAAATAATACTTTATCAAATACAGCCATACCGAATACATCTGAGCCACTTAAAAATGTCAATTCTCTTCTGTCGGAGCCTGTAATAACAAAATTCATCCATTTTCAATTTTGATTGACCTTGGATCTATGAGAAATAGAACTTAAGTGAACAAATAATTCATAGACAAAACCATAAATATATCTAAATCTACTTCAGTAATATTCAAAAGGGAAGCTTAAAATCAAATTGAAGTATGTGCACAGCTAGTTAGCATTATTTCTTCATTTGTAGTACATCAAGAAAAGTCCCTGAAAACATTTTAGGAGTGTGAGGATTAATTCCAAAAGAGCACAAAGATGTGTATGTTGAAAAATATCGAACTATGCCATGGTGACACACTACAAAATGTCATTTGCTTTTCTCATTGACCAATTTTTAGTTATACTTTTGGTTTTTATTAGCAAATGTGAGTAGGAAAGGGCACTAGGACCTTAAGCAAAGGTGAAGGATTATACTTGATTTCATCCTATTACAATATGTTATTTACAAGTTACTGATCTATTTTAGAAAATGTACTAAATGTTCTACCTGTTTAGCAACAGGTCATGTTACTCAATAGCTAATTATTTATCATAATATAAGTAACAGCCCTACAGCTACATACCAATAACAATATCGTTTAAACATATGTTGAACTCAACAATATACCCCTAGTGTGAATAGCATCACTGACATAATACATATTTTTATATCAAATAACACAGCTTCTGTGGCTATGTTCTCATTAAAGATGATTATATATCAAACTGTGGCTATGTTCTCATTAAAGATGATTATATATCAAACAGGTGCAAATTAAAAATCATTTCTACAGAAAAACTAGGATGTATAGCTCCTGGTGTGTATGTAATCAACATATTATCACTTCATAAACATGTGTTATTTTGTTGTGCTGTTATGCAAAGAATCATACCAAATATACAAGATAAAAAGTAAACTGTCAAAAACATATCTATTGCTGTTACCTTAATATAAAGATAAATATATTTCTATTAGAATTTCAATAAAAAACATATATTATTTTTGTTAAATTTCTAATTTCCCAGTTATTATCTTAAAAGATATCATATGCCGACAGCACCTAAGTCGACTCTAGTACAAGACACTAAGAACTGATCATGGCAAGTCAATAGAACAGAGGTCCACGAGATGTTTCAAATTTATCATGGGTGATAACTTGTTGAAAATTGTTGAAAATCAATCGACATCTTCGTTTCATGAACTTAAACACTGTGTATCAAGTTAATCATCTAGAAGCAATTGTGGGCGATGAATGGGTGACAACAATAACCCCATTTCCTGTAATGATGATGTTTGAATGGGTCTACTGTATTTCTTGTGTATATGACATATTTTATTTGATGTTTTGTGTGACATCTAGGAGCCGTGCATCTAATAAAGATATGGTGAATGACACCGAATTAATCTTGCCAATGCCATTGTTAATCCATGTCTTAATTTTAAAGGAGATAATCCATGTTGTCAATTCATATCATCTATACTTCAACATCCTAATATTTTAGCAATGTAAGTGTGTGTATAATTTCAGTACAGTATGCCTAAACATCCGCTTCCACATAAAGTAATGTCAAAGACAAATTGGAATATAGCCAAAATTCACACTGTTGTTCAAGTTTGACATGAACAATGCAAGCATTAGCAGTTATATTATTACCCTGTGTATATTTTTTTGATGTCATTATATCAGGCCACCCCAAGATTTATCTAAAGAATGTATTATAATATTTCAAATTAACTCCTTGTACAGACATTAATCATAATCATTATACTCACCATCAAAGTTCATCTGAAAGACCTTCCCTGAGCCATCACCAACATAAAGTTGTGAGTCTTGTGAAGCTAGTGCATTAGGCCAGAATAGACCATCTGACATGATAACTTTATGATGTTTACCATTAGCTCGTGATCTGTGAACACTAGCAGGGTAATTATTACCACCAAAATCGGTCCAAAATAACATCCTACAAGAAAAAATTACTTGCCATTAATTCATGTAGGTCCACATTTGTTAATGTTCTTCCCTTTGAGATAAGGTCTGTAAATGTCAAAATAAAAGAAATGAGGATAAAAACAAAATTAAGATCACCCACATTTGTAAAAATAAAACTTACTTCTTCTTTGCAAAAAACAGAATTGCTTTTGGCTTATTGAGTCCTTTTTTAACTTCATGGTAAGATGAAGGTCCTCTCTGTAAATTCATTCTAGCCACAACACCTGTACCATTACTAAGATAACCAGTCCAGAAGAGACGCTGTCTATCAGAATCAACTGTTATTCCTTCTATAAATTGAGTGCTACGATAAATCAGTTTAGGCTCAATACCATTGAATGGCGAAGAATAGATCGATTTTCTGAAAAATAAAATAATGAGAAATTTTAATCCCATGTAAGTACTGAATTCAATAAAAAAGAACATTTATTAAGCAGCTGTAGCAGCACATTGATCTGTCAATTTCTTTCTATTTTAAAACCTATAGTTTTTTATAGTTTATAATAACTAAACTAATTACAATTTCAGTCAAATTGCACCGAAAAAGTTACTGTCTTTCAGGGCCTGAGAGAGAGAGAGAGAGAGAGAGAGAGAGAGAGAGAGAGATGTACTTTATTTAAAGCCCATTCAACCCAAACTAGGTCACTTTAAGACTAACATACGGTTTAATTTTATTCCACTACGTCGCCTTTGCATGAGGAGGTTGGACAGGCAACCCTACTCCTTGTCACATACAAGTGGGGAATCGAAACCATGCCACTTGACTGAATGATAGACCTTATGCTGCAACACGCACATGTTAACCATTCGGCCATCTACCCCCCCTATTTAGCAGATGTGAAGCCAAATTGGTCCCACCAATATCGGATAAACACTGTATATTAACTTCAAGTCAATCGGATGATAACTTTGGCAGTAATTATTGGAAATAGCTGAAAATCAATATGCGTGACCTGTAACTTACTCTGTTATGTCACTCCAGTATATAGTATCTGTAGATTTATCATATGCCACAGCAACAAAATTACTACGTATATGACCATATTGTATAGTATGTACAGTTGATTCAGATTCTGGATCTAAACTAACCATTTTCAACGAATTCAAATCAGCAAAGAGAACAAAATTCGCTGGTCCTGAAAACAAATACATGAAATGAAATGGGGTTTAATGTCTTACTTTTCTGAACCGACTGGGCTAATGCAGACAGGTGAAAATGAACAACACCTTGAGAAAGTTGGGATTACGAGAAAAATGTATGTTAACATAATTTAAGTTTAGATTTGAAGATCACGTTACAATATATAGAGAATCTCCTACCAGTCTTTTTTGATATCAAAAAATATCAACACAAGTTGATAAAGTAACAAAAGATAGGTTGCCAGGCAACGAAACATACGCCCACAGCAACTAAATCGTCCGGGCAGTCAACAAGGGTTGTCGCATATTTTTACTTTTTTCGGTAATGAAACATTTATAATACACTAAAATCTAATTAAGAGCAACAACTCACGAAGTAATTATCAGAAAACTATTAGAATTTGTTTGGTTTTTATAAAGTTCTGCCCCATGCTAACGTTTTGTATGCAAAGCTTTTAATATCATGGATTTAACTGTTTAAGTCATAAAAATTCATTGAAAATCAATATACTTGTTTGTCTCAAGATCTTAAACTCTGTGTATCAATCTGAAGTCAATCGGATTATAACTTTAGCCTTTAGAGCATCACAAGATTTTGCAAAGTGATCAAGGGCCATAACTTTGGCAGTAATTATCGGAAATCGTTGAAAATCAATAGGAATCTTCGTCTCATGACCTCAAACACTGTGTATAAATTTAAACTCAATCGGATATTAACTTTAGCCTCTAGAGCATCCACAAGATTCTTTGAAGTGATCAAGGGCCATAACTCTGGCAGTAATTATCGGAAATCGCTGAAAATCAATAGGCTTCTTCGTCTCATGACCTTAAACACTGTGTATAAATTGAAAGTCAATCAGATATTAACTTTGGCCTCTAGAGCATCCACAAGATTTTTCAAAGTGATCAAGGGCCATAACTCTGGCAGCAAATATTGGAAATCGCTGAAAATCAATAGGCTTCTTCGTCTAATGACCTTAAACACTGTGTATAAATTTAAAGTCAATCGAATATTAACTTTCGCTTCTAGAGCGTCCACAAGATTTTTTGAAGTGATCAAGGGCCATAACTCTGGCAGTAATTATCGGAAATCGTTGAAAATCAATAGGCTTCTTCGTCTCATGACCCCAAACACTGTGTATAAATTTAAGGTCAATTGGATATTAACTTTGGCCTCTAGAGCGTCCACAAGATTTTTCAAAGTGATCAAGGGACATAACTCTGGCAGTAATTATCGGAAATCACTGAAAATCAATAGGCTTCTTCGTCTCAAGACCTTAAACACTGTGTATAAATTTAAAGTCAATCAGATATTAACCTTAGCCTCTAGAGCGTCCACAAGCAATTGTGGATGCCGGACCGACGGACGGACGGACGGACGGGTGGGGGCGACGACAATATACGACCACATTTCAATGTGGGCGTATAAAAACGAGGCTCTGCCGAGTTTTTTTTACTTTATCAACGAGTGTTGATATTTTTTGATATCAAAAAAGACGAGTAGGAGATTTTATTTATCATCCAATCCCTTCTTACATGCACAAATAGATAAATATAGTTCTTTGCTGTAGATTTCACTTTTACTGAACATTAAGGCATAGTGATACATCATTTTTTGACAGCAATTCAACCATTGCAAAGTCCTTTATATTGACCCAGTGTTTCCATCAAGGTCAACTGAATAACAATAGTTCATTTTTAATAAAAAAAAGTTACTTTTAATAAGAAATGAACTGTTCTTTGAAAATAAAAAAAAGTAGTTTCTTTTCAACTAACCAATCAAATTCATGTAAAGTGATATCTCCTAAGGAGATATCGCAGTAGATTATGAAATATATCACACAAGCGATATCTACTGTAGAATGTATTATTGGGTGATAAATTATATTATATTTGCCCGGGTGTTTGACTAAATATTTTAATGATGGCACTTTTACTTACTTTCACAAGTAGCCTGATTACTAGATAATATTTTAGATGACCCGTCAGGACACTGACATTTAAAAGGTTTGTCTGGTGTTGAAGGAACTCGTACACATTGATGACTACATACATCTCTATCGCATGAATTATCATGTGGCTCTAAAAAAAAACAGAAACAAATCAGAAATAAATTATCTTCATCTTGAGGTAGCCATAAACCGGGTCATTTCGGGACTAACATATGGTTCAATTTTATTTTAATAATTAGCTTACCTTGTCTTCGTCTAGCTAATGGAGAATAATGTAAACCTGTAGGTCTTGCTCCTGTTAACATTACATTATTATCAACACCAAATCGTAAATCATCTTGAGGTAGCCATAAACCGGGTCATTTCGGGACTAACATATGGTTCAATTTTATTTTAATAATTAGCTTACCTTGTCTTCGTCTAGCTAATGGAGAATAATGTAAACCTGTAGGTCTTGCTCCTGTTAACATTACATTATTATCAACACCAAATCGTAAATCATACGATTTTAAATATCCATTACTCATTTCCATGGAAACCCAATCTGTATAGTACAAGGTATCTCCTCTTACTGCTAACCCCATTGGTAACTATAAAGGTAAAATAAAAGTACAATATATTAGGCATTCACTACTAACAAATACAATTCACAACAGTACTTTTGGTACCTTATAGAAATGAAATGAAATGAAATGGAGTTTAACGTCCTACTTTTCTGCTCCTAACCTGGGCTAATGAAGACGGGCATACGCCATACAGTGTGCTATGAGGGAAATTTTGCCCGGACAGCGGCACTACAGCCTACTCTTATATCGAATTCCAACTGCCAAGGGATCTTTTACGTGCACGCCAATGTGTACACGGGACCTCGGTTTTTCGTCCCATCCGAACGACTAGACAGCATCACTGACAAGGGAGAACCACGCCGGAAAATCTGGATCAACTTTCTCGGCCAATGCAGGGATCGAACACCCGACCTCCAGGCTAGCGAGCTAGGGTACCTTATAGACAAACAAAGATCTACTAAAGCTACTGATCATTAGTTGCATTTTTGGACAATGTCTAATTTTCACAGCTGAATCCATGCTGAAATTCACTCAAATTGATTCTTTAACACTGAACTAATAAAACCAAACAAAAATATCAACGGTAGATTATCTCCCGTCTTGAATTCTTTCGGGTTAAAAAGATGCTCATCAAAGATTTTCCACATTATTTGTAAGTGCTATTGGTTTGTTTATATTGCCTGCAGAGGATGCCAAATGTTGATAAATAATAGAATTTGTAAATAACAGAATTAAACCGTGTATGGACTGATACTCCTTTTAAAGATTCAAGTTTTACACTGTCTAAAATCCCTCAAATTAGGTCAAATCTAATATTTCAATTCCATCATCATATTATAGGTCAACCTATTTATTGATTTAACACATTTTCCTTTTCACAAATTTTCTCTCTTGCTGTTACTCGATCAGCCAAATACATGCACTGGTCTTTGTATTTCATTTACTGGTTGGGATAGTTTATGCTTGAAATGTCCATACAAACAATGTTTTTCTCAAAGATATGAACTTTATTTAGTTCAAATTATTAAGTTTCTACCAAGCAACACTTACAGAGACATTGGCACTTAGTTTCAACTGCTGCCAGGAACTTTTGGAAACATCATACACCATAAGATGTGGGGAGGAAGTACGATTATTATAATTAGAATCAGCAACATACAGACGACCATTATAAAATGTCAAACCATTTGGATTACTGAGACCTTTATCCAAGATAACTTTAGGATTGGAACCATCCAAAAGAGATTGGACAATCATTGGTTTATCGCCCCAGTCTCCATAGAACAAAAACCTGAAATGAGAATAAAATGGTTATCTTTAATTTCTAAATTAATTTTGTTTTTTGACAAGACAAGATTTTTTTTCTATAGCTGAACATGGCATTGAAAACCGCTGGAAATCAATAAAGCTGGACTTTACATCTCAAAAAATTATTTTGAAAACATGATTTTTCTATGGTCGTAATAAATTCATAGTTGGCTCACCCATTTCTGATGTCTAAATCTAATCCTCTGGGTCTTTCAATATTTGTAACAACTGTCTTCCTTTTTTCATGATTTAAACTGATCATTTCTATTCGATGCCAGGAATATACGGCACCATCTTGACCTGGTGCTGATTGACCCATGTTAGTAAAATAAAGCTGTCTAGCTAGAAAATCCATAGCCAAACCTGAATAAAAATATATAAATTTAGGAAATGTGCCATAGAATAATGAGTAATGGAAAACATAAAGGCACAAAAAATGCCATGAAAAGCTTCACTGGAAATATTATCAAACTACCATTGTGGTGTTTCCTCACATAAAATATAGTTCACATGATCCTAATTCCTAATGGAAGAGTGAACAAACTCGAAGTCCATAAATTACAAAACAGACAAAATAGTGTAATAGTATGTGGAAGTCACAAGGGGAATATGCTAAAGTTACAAGTTTATTTGTTAAGGGCAATAACTGCAAATAAATTTATGTATGACTCACTTCATAGGAACATGTGTTCAATCGGTTTAGAATATGACCTGCACATCAATTATATGTTGGACACAGACAGAAGCCAAGGGGAACAGCAATATACTACCATATTAACACATGGACATATAAAAATTCTTAAGTAGGCAAGAATTAGGACAGAAACACCTAATGAAAACCTACCATCAACTGTGCCAATACCATGACTACTATTGAGAAAGATCTTCTTATCTGTACCATCTAAACTAACTGTATAAATAGAATTTTCACTTGCATCACTCCAATATACCATCTAAAATATAACCCAATATTATATCAAAATATCATAAGTCATAATAATGGCATAACGGTATGACCAATATTTTTTGTTGAAACCCTTGGAACCGTTAGAGTTTATCTAATAACGGTTGAGTCTGCATCTACTATAAATGACAAAATTCAAATATGAGAACTAATGTAAGATTACCTGATTGATAGGATCATAAGATACAGCACTAGGTTGAGTACTTCTACCAACTAAAGTTAGATACGGTGACTGAGCTCCAGTAAGGGAGATAAATCCAACATTACCAGAATCTTTCAACGTGAAGAACAAAAGTTCACTCGGCACTGAAGTAAAAAATGTCAATACAATTCTATAATCATTGAGAATAGTAATAATATTGATTACAAATACACTGAAGAGCTTTTGTAGCAACTATTTTTGCAATATTTGCAATAATTTCTTCTTTTGTCATTTTCATCATCAGCTGTCACAGAGTATACATAAAAGTAGTGTTGTGGGCTACTGCAAACAATACTACATGTCCATTTCATTTCTGCACAGACCGGTTCCTTTTTTTTTTCAAAGTGAAACCCCACCTCTTCATGCTTACCTTCACAATTTTTGCCATTTACACTGAGAGCTAAACCACCAAAAGATGGACAGGCACACTGATAGGACATTCCTCTAGTTGGCAGACATAGATGAGAACAACCTCCTTTATTTTTTTCACCACAAGGATGGGCACCTGAAATTATACATGAAAAAACTCTCATCTGACATATGATATATACTCAGCCAAATTAAACACTTGACACTCGGGATTTTTGGGACTAGATTTTTAATATTTGGTTTAAGGAAACTATTTTAGTGTTATGTTGTGCACAGACGACCTTGACATCAACAGAAAGTCCTTGACATTGATAACGTTCGTGATGTCACAGTACCCCCCAAAATGAAATTCACAGACTTGGAGAACAATCGGAATAAAGTGTTTAATAACGGTTGTGGCCTCCTCTAGCGTCTCGTACTGCCACACAACGTCTTCTCATGGATCTCAGAACATTAGTAAACACTACCCGAGGAAAACATCGCCACTGCTCAGCAAGAGCATGTTGAAGGTCCTGCAACGTCAGTGGTGGATTCACTTACTGACGAACACGTCGACCCAGTTCGTCCAAGATGTGTTCAATAGGATTAAGGTCGGGGCTAAGCGACGGCCAATCCAGGACTTGGACATCGGCATTTCTTAAAAAATTCTGGGTAGCAATTGCTGTATGGGGTCGAGCATTGTCTTGTTGAAACGTTAGTCCAGGCATGTCTCTGCATAAACGGAAGAAGAACAGGTTGCAAAATCTGATCCCTGTACTGGACAGCATTTAAGTTCCCTTGGACAACAACAAGAGGAGAACGCCCATGTGCACAAAAAGAACCCCAAACCATGACGCTGCCGCCACCAAATCGATCAACTTCTCTGACGCATACTTGAACGTAACGTTCACCTCGTCTGCGGTACACTCGGACCCTGCCATCGGCAAATCTCAAAGTGAATCGAGATTCGTCACTAAAGACAACCGAATTCCACTGTCTTTGAGTAAATCTTATGTGTCTTGTGGCCCACACAAGTCGGTTACGGCGATGAAGAGGTGTCAATATTGGTCCATTATAGGGCCTCAGAGCTCGAAGACCAGCAGCCTGCAAGCGATTTCGAACAGTTTGTGCAGTTACCCTTCCACCAAACATCTCTCTACTTCTGGATGTTGCAGTGACAAATCTGTTTCTAAGATGACGTAACTGTATTGCTTGATCTTCCTGGAGTGACGTCACACGTGGCGCTCCCGCCCTTGGGCGGTCGGCAATAGTTCCAGTTTGAAGCACTCTCATTCTAAGATTAATTATTGACTGGCGTGAACAATTAAAGGCTCTTGCAACAGTGGCATTTTCTAACAAAGATGAAAATAACAATTTTAATTTGTTTTTCCAGTTCAAGTTACGTGTGCGTGTTCAGTTTAAGCAAACTTGCATCGATTGACCTCACGAGTTTGTGTTTGCACGTGTTTTTCAGGTTTTTCATCTTTATATGCTCAAAAGTCCTCTGATCCACGTGACTTTACAATTTTATGAAATTAAAGGCTTCTTACTACTTACTATCGTTAGAAACACTTTAAAATTTATTTGACTTACCAGAAAAAAAAATTTGTTGAAATTCATCAGTGTCAAGTTTTTAATTTGGCTGAGTATATAATATAAATCAGTAAATTATGAAATCCAACTTGAAACATTGTCCCATTCTATAAATAGTGACAGATGTTGTGAACCAGGCAGGGTATGCTTACCCTTTCTAGAACATCTGATCCTTGAGGAGTTGACATAAAGCTAACAAAAGTTTTGTTGGAAGTGAACATGGGGATGGTTAAGATAGTGGTATAATTTCAGACACCCACTTTATATCAGAAGCTTATAGTGTAGTCTTTCTTTTAATTGGTTAATTAATAGCAGAAACAACTAGCTTATATCGGTAATAATATTTTAAAATGGTGGTCCTCTAGTATGATTGACGTAATTTTTTAAGTAATTTAACTGTCCTGCATTTACTTAGTTATTTCCATACACGGAATAGCAGAGAATGATGACATCTTTTTTTATGCACGAAATAACAGACATACGGGCGATAATCATGGACATAGTTTAAACTTATCTAAAACATTATTGACAACTATAAATGGACATGAAAAGGAATAGTATTGTATTTAATTTGGGAGATAATATATCATAAGCTTGGTCGATATGTGTTCATTCTCGGGCACTTACTTCTTCAACTTCAGACTTTGGTGTCGACAGGGGAAAAGTCTGGATTTGCTTAACATTATGCATTGGGTGCACCCCTTCTAGAAAATATATTAGGTAAAAAACAGTGTGCCTAATCCACTAAAGAACAGGTATCTATTCATGAGATTGGCACATATGACCTTATTTATACATGATTCTTTAAGAGAAATTTAAAATTAAGATGTTTCTGTAATTTTTCTAAAAAAGTTATTGAACATCTTTTAGGACTCTTAGGAACCCACTTAAATCTGTCTGGAGGTTTTGTTTTTTTTATAAACAATATTTATTCAGAAAACTGAGGGGATTGGGGAACAGGCAAAGCCTATATAAACCCCTCTCCCGGTTACAATAAATTACATAATATTACAATATTTTGAAAATAAAGAAGAAAAAAGAATAGATAAAAGGAGATTATATATATATGTACACATAACCCAATAAAAATATTTACATGTAAACATAAGTTTGAAATAATTAAAATCAGCTATTTTTTAAAATCTAAATCTTTCGGTTTGTTCAATAAAATTATGGACCTCGTTAAATACTGTCTGGAGTTGCACCACAACTGTCCATACTTTCCCCTATGTAGTGTCCAACGTATCTCCCATGTTGTGGTAATTAGTACAGTAAAATCAACATAACTGTAAACCATTCCAGAATATAATTATTCATACATGATAGACAAAATCTTAAAACTATATTGCAAACTGAAACAATTGGAATAAATGAAAAAAGTTTTGGCTTTACTATAAACAATCCAAAATTTGTCCAAACCATCTCTGCTCTCCCCTACTGATGTAATTAAAAATTTAGAGACTACTAAGATTTTTTATGTTCATGATGGATTTGTCTGAAGATGCTATTGATAGTTTTTCTGGCAAAGGCGTAAAATTTATTTAAATCAATGCATTAAATCTTTTCAAGTTCTCAGACTACTGTTATCGATCAATAAATATTTAATACCACAAGAGGACTTGAGAACAGTAATATCAGCTGTTAGACATTTGTTTATAACAACAGATTGAAAGATTACTCATAGATATTACTATGGAACCATTATCAAAAATCTTTGTGGATAATGATTTTACCCTTTGAAACTTGTCATGTATTTACCAAAATGAACAAAACAGTGTTTTACCACTAAGTTTTCTGAACAAATCATCAATCAAGTCATGTTATAGCGGTCATCAAAACTAATGAGTTCTGTTTTCAGTAGAATGTAATGTAAGGAATGGTTCTTAATCTTAATCAATTGGTTATTTTATAGTGTCTTCCTTCCCGTTTTAATATTTTCCTTGTAAATTTAGCTTGGGTACTGGATTAAAATGTATAAGTTGTGACAATTCACGAGAGAGAATCGTACAATAGGAATAGCTAATATTAACCATACTATATATAGTACTGTTAATCTAACTGACAGTTACCGAGTAGTTGTCTTAACTTACTTGATGTCTGTAAGGTAGGCATGACGGCCACTAAACTATACAATTCTTGACCATGAGGAAGAATGGGAACTTCCTTCCATGATGGCACTTGTGTCTGTACAAATGTTGATTGTAACCTGGAACTTCGAGATATACCAAATATAGCTGTGTTTCCAATGACAACCAGTCCAAATACAGAATCTCCATTTGTCTTTTTAGCGATGTCCCTTTCTTTGACGACATTATTATTCTCGAGGTCAGATGACAAAATTTCTTCTTTTCTTTCATCCACCCAGTATAACCTCCTTCAAATTAATTAATTATAAATTTAATTGCATAGTTTATTCTCAGTATCTATTAATATCAGGTGTAAGTCGTCCCAAAATACCAGATACCAATTTTCATTAAAACTGAATTGATATTAATGGATTTCACAGAATAGGGGAAATGAAAGCCTGGAAATAATGCAGCTGTCAGAGACAGGTGTGTCACAGACATTGTCAAACACAAATTCATTTTTGCTTTTAATAATATCATTACTACATGTCTGCCATAGTGTTCAAATTGTAAGGTACTATGGTAGTTAAGTAGTGCCTGATATTTTGTCTGGTACAATCAAAATCATTATATCCAGTCCTGGGCAGATGGATTGTGTCTTTCTAAACTAAGACCTAATTATGTACCCATTTATAGAAAAAGAAAAAGATAAAATATAAGAGATTATTGTATTTTTTATGCAAAGGACATATAATTGACAAAATTAATGATCATCTAAAGATATCATATAACAGAGAAAATCAATTTGTATGTATCATGGTGAATTTCTTCACAATTTCATTTCTATCTTAATCTTAGCTAATCAAATCATATTGTCAAAGCAATTCCAAGTCATCAATTATTGTCTGACATCTACTAGACTATATACCCTTTCTTTTGGAGGAGATAAACTAGATTGGATAGAACAATGAAGGTCACACTTTACATTTATTTTTTGCTGGTCAATAGAATGACAGCACTCTTGTCTCATCCCGTGATACAATCTTCCAGTTATTAATTGTATCTAGGATACAGTTAATCCCTTCTACCACTCATTAATAAGTTACTATTTGAAACATACCAAGAATAAAATATAATTTTCCTTTATCCCAAATAAGTGAAAGACAGAAAGTGACATAGGGCTAATAATAACATATATTGAAATGGTTTTTAAAATCAGATAAAAATTGTGACCTCTAGTGGGTCCACAAGCTAAAAATGTCATTTTTCAAACAATCGAGGACCATAATCCACAAAGTTATGGTCTGATGTGAGCAAATATCGAAAGAAACCAAGATCTTTGGGATATAAACATATATTTTAAATTTCATCAATATCAGATCAAAATTGTGACCTCTAGAGGTCCACAACCCTGGTATTACATACTTTTACACTATTTGCGTTCAAGGAGCAGCCATATTGTTGGAAGTTTTGGTCCGATTTTTACGAAATTTGAACTCAACCTTGATATGGAGTAACAGTGATATTTTCAAACCTTTTTTTTAAATCAGATAAAAATTGTGACCGCAAGAGGGACACAAGCTACAAACGCAAATTTTTCTACAATCAGGGGCCATAATCCATGAAGTTAGTTCGATATGCGCGAATATATAATGGAACTGAGATCTTTGGGTTATAAACACAGATTTCAGTTTCATCAAAATAGGATAAATATTGTGACCTCTAGAGCGTCCACAAGCTAACCAGCAGCTGCCAGGCAGATACACCCACATTTTGCAAGAGATGGATAGGGAACAAGCTAAACCAAAAGAGATATTTCATAGAATCAAGGGCCATAATTCAGGAAGTTACGATCCGATATGCGTGAATATCGAAAGAAACTAAGATCTTTGGGTTATAAACATGTATTTAAAGTTTCATCAAAATCAGATTTAAATTGTGTCCTCTAGAGGGTCCATAAACTTGATATACCATATATTTACACTATTTGCGTACAAGGGCGGCCATTTTGCATGGCAGTCCTGGTCCGATCTTCACGAAATTCGAACTCAACCATCATTAGGGTGTCAGGGTGACAATAATTGTGACCACAAGCTGAAACCACAATTTTTCGTACAATCAGGGGCCATAATTCAGGAAGTTACAATTATATATACGCAAATATCGCAAGCAACGAATATCTTTTGGTTATAAACATGTATTTCAAGTTTCATCAAAATCAGATGAAAATTGTGACCTGTAGAGTGTACACAAGCTAAAAACAGGATTTTTCATTCAATCAGGGGCCATAATCCATGAAGTTATGGTTCGATTTATACCAACATCTAAAGTAACCAATAGACCTATATTTTAAGTTTCATCAATATCGAATAAAAATTGTGACCTGTAGCGTGTCCACAAACAAATTGTGGACGGACGGACAGGGGCGACGACAATATGTCCACATGAAAATGTGGGCATATAAAAATGTGATTTTTTCGTACAATCAGGGACCATAATCCATGAAGTTACAGTCCAATACATGCCATTTTCAAAAGGAACCAAGATCTTTGGGATATAAACCTATATTTCAAGTTTCTTCAAAATTGGATAAAAATTATGACCTGTTGAGCGTCCACAAACAAATTGTGGATGGACATTCATGCGGACAGGCACGACGACGATATACGTCCACATGAAAATGTGGGTGGATAAAAAGATAATGCAAAATGAACATATTGAAAACTTCATTCAAATTACTTTATTCTGAGCGAAGTAATTGCTGTTTGAAATTTTGATAAGATGTGACATAGAATGTTTTTCATTGTAACAACGGTACTTGCTATTAGAGACTTAGCCTTGATACACCATTTTCAAATCAAATCATTTAATGGTGACCATCTTTTAATCCGTTTAAATCTCCGCCATCTCACGGTCTAGAGAATTGATTATAGGCTTGCCATGTGAATAAATAAATGTCTAAATAATAGTTTATATATAACATTTGAAGTCAAAATAAAGACCTGCAATAAGCCGATTTAGTCTTACATAATGCATCTTTAAAGTAAGAGCATGGAAAACAACATGTACTCAAGGAAAGTTTTAAAACATATAGGATAGGAGTTTAAACAGCTGAATCCAACTACATCAATCAGTATTAACTTGTCGAGCATTAATAATGATTACTAAATAAACAGAACTTAAGTTGGACTTGATATTCTCATCATTATTAATTATCTTTTGTAAGTATGTACAAGTAGTTACTCTATTAATGGAATTTCTGTGCTGCTGGCATTTCCAGAAACTTTATGTAATTGTAACAAATTGATCAAAGTGTATTTAATAGATCTGTAACATTGATCTTCTCGATCAGTGAAGATAATAAAACAAGTGGTCCAGACTCTAATCAAAGAAGAAAAACAAATTATACAAGTCTTTACCTTGTTGGATAACTAATAGCCAATTGATTGGTCCATTGTAAGCCATCATGAACCAGTGTTTTACGATCTGTACCATCTAATGCTGAACGTTCTATTTTCCTTGTACCTTGATCAGCCCAGAACACAAACCTACAACAGAAAACATAAATGAATAAATATAAATTAAAGATTTATTATAGCGCCAGAATTACTCTCAAAAGGAGACAGATCTGAAGCTGTATTCCAACTGGTTACAAACAAATGAATAATCAGTACTAGATCAAATGAAAATCTCTAGGTCGAATACAAAATTAGTCATTAACGCCACCATCAGTCAAGATACTGTTAGTTCAGCTAAAGCCAAATTTCATTCAATTGATCCCAGTTAGTGGAAAGCACCTCATTATTCACTTTACCAATATTCTGACATGGAAATGTGGATTGAAGTTGAAGTCGTATCTGACATTTTTACCTTTCTAGCAAACATGTCTTAAAAATATTAATACAAAATACAACAAATCAAAAATCAACTACTCTACAACTTATTGTACTCTTTTTTTATAATTTGATTAAGTAGGCCTTTAATTAACAGTGTCAAAAATCAAAGATCAATTATGATTACTAATATAATGAAACAGGTTTGAAGAAAACTATTAGAAATGTGGCATTGCCAAAATTACTTTTAAGCCATGTGCAAAATTTGATGTTACTGAAATTAATCCTAATCAATGCTAGTGAAAATTTACAAGATTTTGCAATATCTATGACTATTTATGCATTAAAGTTCTAGTAATTATCAATGTGATCAATAAAAGGAACTGGTACAAAATATGGTTGATTCTTGTCAGACTTGACTCTATTACCGTAACAAGTGTGCTTTAATTGGATTCAATCCTGTGTGCATGTAATTTGAATTTCATCATCGTGGCAATACACCTCGATGCTGCTCTATGGACTGTTCTCGCAAAATCATTATCAAGGTGGCTATAATCAATTTTAGCAATAAAAGATGCAGGGTAGCCTTGAATCAATGCAAACAATTTGATCCCAAGAGTTGGATAAATTGCTTGTGTATCAAATGAGAACATCAGAATCAAATAGTAATGTTTGGTAATGTGCACCAAGTTTCTAGGTTTGATTTATATTTGTAGAAGTAGAAATGTATCTAATTTCTTGTTGATTGTGATTAATGAGGTTAGTGCTATAATAAATCATCATTCAGATATATAAAATTTCTACAATATCCACTGTCTGTCTTATATATTATTCAATTTCTGACAGTTGAGCTAAATTACTTGCTGTATAAACTGCCCTGTCTTTGCTTAAATTAACAGAATAGAAAGCTATTACACATTTTGTAATGCGTAACAACCTAATTTATCTCCACAAATACATTCTTGCTGCACTAACAACTGTTATTAGGAAGATAACATTCATCTACAAGTACTGATCAGAGACATTTTTTTAGTCAAACATTTTGAAAAAAATAACATAGCATAAGTTGAAATGGCAGTCAAAAGATCTAGAATCAAATAAAGATGGGATGTTAAAGTTGTATCTATAACGATTGCGTTTGAAGAAACTCGTTAGAAGCTCTAACAGCTGTGAGCTATCGGTTTATAGTACCTTACAATCTAAACTTGGTTATTTCCAGTTAAAAGATACTATCAACACTTTTTACTGTAACATGCTACATACTTCAAGTTCGGTGCTAATCTTCGATCAATTTATGGTATGCTACATACGAACTTCACCCTTACAAACATAAACATGCTCACTCCATGTAAAATATTTACTAAGTATCAAACAAAATTCAAAAAAATCATTCAACATTCGTTCTATAAACATAATTATTGGTTTTTCTTGGAGGTGCGAAATAGATGTGTAATACTATCTCAAGTTATTAAAGAGTTTTTGGCATCAAGAAAATAACGCAGAATTCTCTGACGAATGAAGTTTAACAGATATGCAAATAAAAGTCTTATCATATGAATACAGTCGAATTCTTGTATTAATCTTCTGTAAGTCTGACTGACGACATGCAGATTAATTATTCATCTCTCTGAATTTTTATCAAAAAATAAAACTGATTTATCAATGTAACCTAGTCTGTGATAATGTCAAAGATTTGACATTCTATAATTAATTTTATTTCTGGAATCATCTATTTTCAGATTGATGCATTGTAACTCATTCTTAGGCATTTAATTAGTCATTGCTGGTAGGTGATTTATGAAATTGATGGTAACAATGCATTTTATGAGCAATGGAATTCTCAACATTACGATCACCATGAAAAACATGCCTCTAATAAATCGGTGCCACAATAATGACTGGAATTAGTGCTTTTAGAATTGGCTGTTTTCTATGTGAGTATGAGAACTATTTCTATTAAAGACTGATAAACTGGTATCATTGGTGATCTTGGCTCTAAAACAATCAGTCAACACAATGAAGTAATACATCTCTGATATAAGCTATCTGACATTATCAACTTTCTTCAACACAACTCTCTAACATTATCAATTTCCTACATCAATTAATTCCTCTCTGACATGTTTCTTCTCAGAAAAAAATATCATGAAGTTTTTGTGAAAGGTTGTTAAAGCAGCTGGCTGTCTTGTTGAACATGAGGGAACAATATACTAAACATCAAAAGCACATGATACCTTAGTCAACAAGCAGAGCTTTTAGATGCACCATAGGATCACGGACATCATCCAGGTAGCAATAACACCTCCTGTTAAAACTTTATTTATTTAGTGTATAGGTTAATTAGGAAAAATCTCTAATTGTTATGTCAGACTTCCGTAATGTTTCATTTGAAATCAAAGGAAGTGGTGTAAACTGAGTAACAGAGGGTTTTCTATAGAAGACAAGTTCTTTCTAAAATCAAGAGATATATGGAATGTCTCAAGATGCAGATTTCCAAGGAATAAGTCAAGGTTTCTATAAAATATGGATGGATACAATTGACTATTATTAATTTTTATCACTATGTTTATCTTCATGTACCTTTATCTTTCTGGCCAATGGATCAGTAACTCAAAATGCATATCCCTAAAAGAGACACGAAAAAATGTATGGAAAAAAATGTATGGAAAGACTTTATACCTACAGTTACATGCATGGCACCCCACAAAGTCAAACATCTGTGAAATACATCTAAAAATGAAATTCTCTATGACGTGTATCTAATGGCTTTTCTCAAAAATACAAATTAAACTGGACAAACTTGGAGTAATATAACAAGTAGTCTATGTGTATATCGTATAGCCTAATATCAATAATCTGTTTAACATGGTTAAGTTTTCATCCCTATTTCTTGGATGATTGCTGGATAAGTTCAAAATGAATCCTTAACATATTTTCTTTAAGTGTAAACAACTATATTACTTTTATTGATAAAATAACACATTAAGATGTATTTATTTAGATATGGTACATAGCTTAAAGGAGCTAAATCGCTAATATTTTGGATCTAGAAATTGATACAAATGGGTCGCAACGTATATAATAATGCATTGTGAATGTATTTAAACTGATTTACATTCAATCGTTTCTGTTTTTACTGCAATTTCTAATCAGTTATGTTCGGCGAAATACGCCAGAAGTCTCAATCCAATGGCAACCTCTAGCATCTGGTTATTCCACTCTATACCGATAGTATTTATTGCGCATGCTCTCCAAATAAGAATATAACGTCACCGTTTGACATGGCTTGTGGAATATATCTAGCCTCTTTCTACGAGTCCCTTGTTAAAAATGGCACTGAAAAGCACCATGGTACATGATTCGTGTACCAACGGTAAAATGTTTATTTTGTCTTAATTATTGGATATCAGAAGCCCATCTTTTCCCCTTAAGATCCCAACATCAATGTTGATTTAAATTGATAAATAATTTGTGTTTTCAATGTCAAAGATTTTTCGATTATATTGAGTTAGAGACTTAGCTACTTTAAAGGAGCTAAATCGCTAATATTTGGGACCCAGAAATTGACACAAATGGGTCGCAACGAATTCAATAATGTAATATGAATGTATATAAATTGATTTACAATGAATCGTTTCTGTTTTTACTGTAATTTCTAATCAGTTAGGTTCGGCGAAATACGGCAGAAGTCTCAATCGAATGGCAATCTCTAGCATGGTTATTCCAGTCTACGCCGATAGTACTTATTGTGCATGCTCTCCAGATAAGAATATAGCGTCACCTTTTGACATGACTTGTGGAATATGCCTAGTCTCATTTTTGAGTCCCTTATTACAAATAGCGCTAAAACACATATTATGGTACACGACTTGTGTACCAATTGTAAAATGTTTATTTTGTCTTAAATATTGGATATCAGAAGGCCATCTTTTCCCCGGTAAGATCCACAACATCAATGTTGATTTAAACCAACAAATAATTTTTGTTTTCAATGTCGAAGATTTTGGATGATATTGAGTTAGAGATATCGCTACTTTAACTAATCTTGGCATTCTTTGAATAAGAAATTAGATCCTTTTTATTTCTTTTATAATGTTCTGACTAATAGTTTTAAATAATAGGTTCATCTATATCATTCTCACATAGGCATTTCTCTTTTATTTACACATTTACATATCATACATATTATAAGACAGCTGATTAGATAAATATTTATTATTATGAGAAAAAGATGACAACTGTATGTAGCTTAGATTTTACACATTTATCAGAAAGACTTAATGTTTCAATATCCGCATGGCATTAATTTTCAACATATTTGACATTTATATTTGACACATGTTTGTATAATATATAATACAGATCTCTGTGTCTAAAGGAATGGTAACAATATGCCATAAAATACATATTTCACTTTTTTCAAATATTCATATGTCACAACCTGTCTTTCTTGACTACTTACTGATACAACGTTTTGGAGGTTTCAAATTCGACACATGGAAAACAATTGGAATAACAAACAAGAGAGTAGAAGGTTACTACATTCAATAAGAACAAAATAAAATGTAGATGAAAAACGTGTGTATGTATAAAACACTTTATTAAATTTGATATTTACATATTGTTTTAAATTTTAAAATATGTTATGAATTTGGTGCACTTACATGCTGAGTGTTTAGAGAAGGATATCATTTTGTTTTTGGTATATTCATGCA